TACAAGAAATTACTGGGATGCCCCTGATTAGTGATGGGACACCCAGATGACTTAAATCATTAAACAGGATTAGGCCCATTAACACAAGCCCAGTTACAAGATAAGTTAAACATAAGAATGGGCTAATAAGAACTCTTATCAGCCGAACATCACTCTAACATTCTAACAGAATTGTCTTACAAGCTTGGGAACTTCGTCACGAGATCTCATAAAAAATAACCAAGTATACCGAGAAAAATTGTCAATGAACAAGATAAAATATCAATAACCACCCATGGAAGGCAAGTGGTATGGTCCCCACACATTAGAGTGCACGATATGAAAGGAAAAGTGGATTTATTACATAAATCCAAAGTGCTTCTACAATGTCTTGATAACTCACAATGAAGACTAAACAAGTTAATTCCCTTAAACAACTCTGGGAACAAATGACCCAAACAAAAATGACATAACATGACACAACTAAAAGACTCTTAAGAAGTAGACCCAAAAGAAACTCTTTCAAGTTGTCCTTGGCTTTTTCCAGGAGTACCTAGCAGATATATTCCATTCGCTTCATGGCCACTCCCAATCACTTTCTGAGACTTCATGTCCTTAAAAACACAATAATAAGGGAAGAAGGTTACACTGCAATTTAAGGATTTAGTTAGGCTACTCACTGACATCAAATTAGTATGCAATTAAGGACATGAAAGACAAAAGTAAGGGAAAGGAAGTCCGTACCCTTGATGACTCCCTTGCTAGAGATAGGAGCAAGAGAGCCATCACCTAGGGTAATCTTATCACGGCCAGAAAGTAAGTCATAAGAGCTTAACATAGTAGAAATGCTGGTCATATGATCAGAAGCACCTGAATCAATAAGCCAAGGGATCCTACGATTACCTAAGATGGCTGCATGGTTGGCAGTAACATGTATACCTGAATGATCAAATGTAGACGTAGTTGGATTGCCTGAAGAGTTGGAGGAGGTGGCTACATTCTCAAGGTGGCTGATCATCCTCCCATATTTCTCATACTCCACCTTCATAACAACTAACTGCTCACTAGCAACTTTCTCATCTATGGCACTCTTGTCATTATCTGACATTGTGGCTACATTGGCACTCCCGGTCTTCCCATTTTCAACCTTCTTTTGAAAACGGGGTGGAATAAGGTATGGATGTAGTTTCCAACATTTATCCTTTGTATGTCTTGGTTTCTTACAGTATTCACATATAACCTCCTTCCCTGTACCACTAGTAGTCATCTTAGGTTTCAACCCCATATTAGCAAAATGGTCAACTAGAATAGTTCCTTGAACCAGAACCATCCTCATGCTCTCCTCACTGCTCACCATGACATATTCTTGAGACAAAGATACATTGTCTTTAACTAGGATATTCTATCTGGTAGTATCAAATTCTGGATTCAACCCTGTCTGGAATTCAAAAACCCTATTCCTCTCAACTAATTTTCTCTGTCTCTTCCTCATTTGTACTTTCCTAGACAACTATTTCCATGAGATCTATCTCTTGCCACAAGGGTTTCAGCATTGAGAAGTAGACTGCTAAAGGTCCCTCCCCCCACAACTTATATGCCCTGGCCGCATTCAGTTTTTGTGAATAGGTTTCAGCAACACTATCCCATATTTCCTTGGCAGAATTCATCCACAAATAATGTTGACTAATTTGCAGTTGCATCAAATTCACTAACCACCCAATAACAGTGTAATTCTCTTGCATGCAATCATTTCTCATAAGACGAGTCATCTTCCTCTGGTGCTTTCTTGCTCCCGGTAATATATCCCCACTTGCCTCTACTACAAACATGTATCTTTACTGATTGTGACCATGCTAGATAGTTAGCACCATCAAGCTTGATTGTGGTCATAGGCAATAAAGAGTTTACAGGTGCTCCCGAAACCTATTCGAACTATGAGGCCAACTTATTATCAATTCTAGAAACATCCATCTTCCTCAAACAACTCCTAAAACAGTTTTCAAGGTAGCCGCTCCCTGTACCAACCTCCACAGATCCCTAAAAGCCAACTACGTCTTACCTGGAACCTGGAGAAATAGAAAAAAGGCAGCCGCTCCCTATAGGCTTCACAAAAGTGCACAAAGATTGGATCAATCTTCAAGGTAATCAAAAAGAACCCCTTCAACCACTGAGTGCCAAGGTGAAGCTTCTTATGGGATCCGCAATTAGAACACTCCAGTTGATTAGGGTTTTTGGGCAAAACTCCAAAAACTGTCAAATAGATGAGAAGGATATCTTCCTTTTCTTCAAGAAACCACTACCAACTGGGCTGAATATCTTCTTCAATCAGTCATTTGATTCAGCCCTCTATACACACTGTGTATGGGAAAAAAAAGGAAAAAGGGGTAAAGAAAAAGGGACCTGCTCTGATACCAAGAAGAAAAACAGTCCCAAAAGAATAAGAAAAATTATTAAAAGAAAGGGAAAAACAAAGGAGATAGCAATAGCAAGAAGAAGAAGAAGAAGAAGAAGAAGAAGAGTTCGGTTGTGAGAAGGGTGAGGAGAAGAGTTGTTCGTACAGCCCCTCCTTTCCCTAATCCTTTCATTAAAAAATTAATCACTAATTTTCAGAAATTACAAGTAAGCCCTTAATTAGGTGGCTAGCTAATTAAACAAAATAAAACTGATGTTAACAAAAACAAAACAGAAGTATAAAGATAAATAACAACTGTGGGCTATGGGCCATTTGGCCCATCTTCTTTACAGTTTCGATTTCTAAAAGAGACAAACCTACAATAGAGGAGCTGACTTACTTAGTAGAACACCAAGACAGCACCAAAGAAGATGAATCCCAGTGTAGAAATTGCGAAATTCCACAATAAAATCGTGATACACTTTCAGCTATTGAATAATGTATTATATTATAAGCTAGTGGATGGAATCAAAGCTAGGTGTTTAGAAGATGAGGATAGCTAGCATGTGCTATGGAAAATTCATGACAACTTTATATAGAAAGTCAGTTCACAACTTTATATAGAAAACTCCAATGCCTAGGGTACTATTGGCCACAGTGAGAAAATTGCAGCACAAGGCCCAGCACTTCTTTCAAAAAGGGAACCCTATTTCATAGGTCCTTTAGTAACCACTTAGATGATTATCCAGTGAGGAAATTCAGCTTTCCCTTATAACAAGAAAGAATTATATGAGTAGCTACTTAACTTAGGCTTCTTCTGGCCAACCATGATGGAGGATACAAGTACAACAAACCATGTTAAGCACAAGAACTCTTATGTATCACCCATACTCTAACAAATAAGAAGCAAGGTTCGTTCCAAACAATGACGAAAAAAATATACCATCTATTGTTGGTTAAAAATATTTTAATAGAGATGTTTTCTTACATCCTAGAGATCTAGTGCTGCATGCATCTCTAGATTATCCTGATTCTGTCAATTTTTTTGTCTCATAATAATTTCTTTTTGTCTCATACATCCTAGAGATCTAGCCTTTATTACTCATTTATCTTCTATTACCTATAAATCTTGAAGATGCCTTTGCCCATCCTACCTGCTAGGAAGTTAGAGTTGAGAAAAGGACAGTATCTAGATAATCTAAGTTGAGAACCGATTAATTTTTCTTATGGATAAAAATATTGTAGTATGTATGCAGGTCTACTCTATGTAAAGAAGAAGGCTCAGATAAACCCATAACATATTTACTTAACTAAATAGGATTTAAAAGTTGTGTCACAGAAATTTAGAGGCGGCCTCCTTCATTTGTAATTGCCACAACTGTTAGAAATACACATTCATCCACAAAACTCGTCAAAGTTCAGTCCTCCCACCTTTTCTTTATTTGCCTTCCCTCCATGAAAGGTTCTTTGTTCTTACCCACCTTACAAAAGAAAAACTGTCTAATTTCTCCATTCTCTACTACATCCAACATGTTAAATGAAAACTTAATATGACTTTTTGAATAATTTACTTAAGAATAAAATAAAAATTAAGTATAGTTTCATGATTGATTTTTCTCTGAAAAGGTCAGAGTATGTATTCTATTGATATTTTCATGCAGCATTGATTCTTCAGACAGAAAATTTATTGTCATCCTTTTGCTTTTTAGAGTATATCATAGTGTCTGAAGTTGCTGCCAAAAACAGAAACAAAGACAGCTTTCTTTACGACCAATATCACATCCATTGGTAGCTACTGATGGGATTAAATGCAATGCAATGAGTGCCAGCATGATTCCAAATGGGTGATCCACTTGGGGCTATAATTATGAAAATGCTAGTTGAAAACTTGAAATGGAGGAAGTACCTCAGTGCAGTCTTCACGGTGAAGTAGCCCAACACAGCTGCCCCAGTCATCTATAATAGGCACAACGGTGTCCCTAAAGAAACGCATCACCACTTCCTTCAAGTTCAAGTAAGCTACTAAAGGCCGAGCTTCTTCAAATGGAATCATAATTTTCTCAATAGGATCATCCAGTGATACCTAAAATTGGAAAAACAGAATCTCAGATAGAATTATCCATATTTGAATGACAAAGCTAAGGGAAAATCTAGGTAAAACCAGGAAGAAAATGGGGACTACTAACCAGTAGGATACTATACATGACTGGTGGCAGAATGAATAGACAAACCATTCAATTGGCCCCTCGTGCCTATGACATCTCTATGTCACAAGCTGGGGGAGGGGAGAGGGAAAGAGAAATAGATATATGGGCAAAATTCATCCAATGTGGTAAATATTCATCTATTCTATAGATTTTCTCTTCCTTTTTCCATTGCAACATCCTATATTCATGTTGTAAAAGAAAATCCAGTTGGTCAAATGACTGGACCCAAACTAGAGGGTAGTGGTCCAGTTGGTAAAAACATTGCAGTCCAGAGGAGAAACTTTCTTGTCAATATAGATAAGTAGAAGGAGATGAAATACCTGAGGAAGAAGGTAAGGACTAAACATTGATTGCACGAACCCAGATAAAACCTCTAATCGCACAGCAACCTGCATTCAAATGACAAATGCAATGCTAGATGTATAATATAATTCTACAAATTAATTTACTATTGCAACACAAGGATATTCTACAAATGCCATATCACTGTTGAGTTGGTCCGAGTTGTTTTTTATTTAGCTAGGAAGTTGTTGGGCTTTAGGCCCATTATTTATGTTCTTTTAAGTTGTGACTGTTCAGCTATATTAGTAGCCACCCTACTAAGGGCATCCTTGTAACATCTCATCCTTTAAGTTAAGTATAAATATAATGAGAGGTAGGCGGCTAGGGTTAATTTTACAGTCCTGGTTGACTTTCTTCTTCTCCTTTCTTCTCTACTGCTGAAATCTTCATCTTCCCCCTCTTTCCTTTCACAAGAAACTCGACTAA